GTGTGTGTGTGTGTGTGTGTGTATGTGTGTATGTTATTTTCTCACCGTAAGATCGGACTCGGGCCAGCACTTGGCAGCGCAGGCATTTTTTTAACAACTGCCGCGGTGGGGAATGCCACTGGACTATCGTGACAGTGCATATATACATATATATTATACATTATATATATATATATATATATACATAATATATATATATATATATATATATATATATATATATATATATATATGTGTGTGTGTGTGTGTGTGTGTGTGTGTGTGTGTGTATATACACACATATATCGACATACATATATACATATATATATATATATATATATATATATATATATATATATACATATATATATATATATATATATATATATATATATATATATATATATATATATATATATATATAAATATATACGCACACACACACACACACACACACACACACACACACACACACACACACACACACACACACACACATACACACACACACACACACACACACATATATATATATATATATATATATATATATATATATATATGTATGTATGTATATGGTTACCTAGCTAACTAGATAGATAGATAGACAGACAGACAGATAGACAGATAGATGATGAGAGATCAAACCTGAGAACGTGCACTGGAAGCTGCCGAAGCCCTCTCGGTGGTGCTTGATGACAAGGAGGGTGAGGAACGCGAGGAACATGGAGACAACGAAGCAGACGAGGCAGCGGCCGTTGAGCGAGCTCCTGAGGCCTGGGACCGACAGGTAGATAATTGCCGTGACGCAGAGGAAGACGCAGGACACGCTCAGCAGCACTGGCTGCAGGATGTTATTGTTCCAGTCGCACGTTACAGCGCAGACAATCGCAACATCCTTCGCCGGCCCTTCCGCACTGTGTCTCCTTTCGACGCAGTAGTGGGTGTGGGCCAAGGACTCGGCGCCGGGCAGGTGCAGGTCACCCTTGGGACCGAGGGTGAAGTCTTCGTAGACCAGAGGGTTCCCGCACTGGGGCATTCCGTAAACCACGTCCAGGTCTGCATGGGGAGGGAGGGTCACCGTGAGGTCGTCCTTCGAAGAGAACACAGCCTGCCAGGGGTCGATACTGTCGACGCATCCTTTGCCACTGATTTCCTGGCCCTCTGGGCAGCACTTCCTGAAGCAGTAGGTACTCTGGCATGCGGTTGGGAGAGCAACCGGGTTCTGCTGGCAGAATTTGATGAGGTACTGGTCCTCCTGCGTCCCCTCCTGTGCCCTGACGGCAACGCAGAAGTCCTTAATGGAGACGGGCTCTTGGCTGCCGGGAGGCTTCCAGTACACGATCGCGGGATACTTGGGGTCGGCGAGGATGACGATTTCCCCGCGAACGACGGGCACGACTCTCTCGCTGCCCGCGAGCGCGGCGCATACCACAGCCGTCGGCGGCTCCTTGACCACGTTGACCGCCTCCACCAGGGTGTCTCCCATGACGACCTGCGGAGTGAAGGCAGCGCGGCGGTGGCGGACGCAGGACCCGTCCGTCGCAAGCGCCTGTCCGTGGGCGCAGCACCGCGGCAAACGCAGGGCCTCCGTGTAGACGGGTACCTGCTCTTCACCCGCAGCCGACGCAGCCAGCGCCCACGCGAACGCCAGGGCGCACCACAAGCCCATGCCAAGGGGCATCGCGTCCAGGAAAGTTCGTCAAACGCCGCCCAGGAGGCAACGAGTGCTCTTGTTCCTGTAAAGGCAAGGGAAGACTGTAGCATTTTCATAGTCAGTGAAATATAAATGATAATACACATACACACACACGCACAAATATATACATATATATATATATATATATATATATATATATATATATATATATATATATATACATATATATATATATATATATATATATATATATATATATATACATACATATATATATATATATATATACATATATATATATATATATATATATATATATATATATATATATATATATATATATATACATATACACACACACACACACACACACACACACATACACACACACACACACACACACACACACACACACACACACACATATATATATATATATATATATATATATATATATATGTATATAATCATCATCATCATCATCAGCCTGGGTCAATCCACTGCAGGGTTTAGGCCTCTCCCAATCTTTTCCATCTTTGTTGCGTTTTTTGTTCCCAGTCTTAGCTCCCGAATTTCGTTATTTCGTCGCGTACGGTACGTAGAATTGTTAAAAATCCTCGAAAATATCGTGATAGATGATAAAGACATGAGACTAACTCATTCTCTCTACAAAGATCAACTTGCAGCTGTCCGCATATCCAACATAACAACTAAGTGGTTCCCATCAAGCGAGGTGTTCGACAGATGTCATCTGACCTTTTCAGTTTGTACTCTGAAGTTATCCTGCGGGAAAATGAAGATCAGGAGGGAATCGTTATCATTGGTTGAAAGATTAACAATCTTCGATACAGTTCTCATGGCCACATCTATAAATGACCTCCAAACCCCTTTTTAATGCTGTTGTGGAAGCCAGTGAACGACTTGGCCTGCAGCTCAATAGCAAGAAAACAAAATGCGTAGTAGTTTCATCAAAGTTGAAGATCCCACCATCTTGTCCATTGAAACAAGGAGAAAGAGAAACCTAACAGGTCTCCTCCTGTATGTTTGCGAGTCCTGGACACTGACGGCTGCAACCCGGCGCAATAGAGGCTGCAGAAATGTTGAGGAACGAGAACGAGACAACTCATATTCCTCGGACATGCAATCCATAAAGACACATTAGAAAACCTTAGCTTAAGAGGTAAAACAGAAGTCAAACAATCTCGAGGCAGATCGAGAAAAACATCTATTAACAATTTTAAACAAACACTTCGATGCCTCTAGGACAGAGCCCGACAGCATGAAACATTGCGCCAAGTAGTTCGTTAAACACCGCGTCGGTGATGGCACAGAAAGATAAGATACACACACATATGTATATTATATAAATAAATAAATAAATATATGTATACATACACACACACACACATATATATATGTGTGTGTGTGTGTGTGAGATAAGACAGAAAGATAAGACACACACACACACACATATGTATATTATATAAATAAATAAATAAATATATGTATACACACACACACACACACACATATATATGTGTGTGTGTGTGTGTGTGTGTGTGTGTGTGTGTGTGTGTGTGTGGGTGTGTGTGTGCGTGCGCGTGCGTGTGTGTAAGTATAGATATATAAATAAATAAATAAATAAATAGAAAAAAAAATATTCTTGTTAAATTACTGCCGTCAGTTTGTCGAGATCATTTCTAACACAAGTAATGATTATGTTACTTCTTTAATGTTAATTCTATCTAACTTTAAGGTCTATTAGTAGCATCCCTATCACTTTGATACATTGTTTTAAGTATCAAAGTGATATGTTATCATCGAAGTTTGTACTGACATAGATATCATTAAAAAAGAAGTTATCTTTATTTATTTCGCATAAAAGAGTCAATAGAAAACCATCTAAGTACATAATATGCTGGTGTGATTTTTAATTACAAGCAAAACGTTGTGGAAACTTCAAATAGAATGGAAAAAGTACCTGATTATTCTGCAACTTAAATTGTTTATACACACCACTCTCCGGTTTACAAGGCATCCGTGTCCAAATCAGGCAATTGGGTAATTCCAATGATCACGGACAGTTACTTGATTTATTGATTGAATTATATCTACAAATCAAGATATACAGCCTTTTCTTTAATATTTTTGAGCCTGCAAGGTTATATCACGGAGGTACAGAATGATTTTGAACACATTCATCCCACCGAAGTCAATAGCACGTCATATGATTCAGATTCGTTCCAGCGACCTTTATGATTGATTTCAAATCTTACCCATATAGAGTGAAGATGTATTTGATGTACTGCTAACAAGACACAGAAACATTTTATGCACCCTTACAATAAAAAAAAGTTCTATCAAGAAAGTTCGTAATTAACGATTCGTAATTAACGAAAATATAAATCCCCATCTGAGACGACGTGAAATATATCTGAAAAATACCGCGTGCTGATTGGCTGGCCGGAATGTATCAAACTATATCAAAATGAAGGCATAAACTTTGATACAAAATGAAAAGATGTTTCAACTGGTTTCAATAATGCACGCGTAAAGAGCAAACATGTATCAGAGTGTATGAGTGTTTCGGAAATGTTACAGAAAAAGGCCCTTAGTCCCTCGACATGATCTGAATTTTAATTTAAGATTTATTCTAAAATGTTTCTTCTGTTTCTTCCCACCATCTTGGGTTTTGGATTTGAAGGGAACAAAAAGGAAATACAATTTGATTTACTTTACTTATTAGTGAGTAGCATGACTACGCGAGCATGCATCGGTCTTAGAAACATAAGGTCTTTTTTGCAGCATCCTGGAACCCTAACACTTCAATACATTGTTTGATGTTGCATCGTGGTCGTTACAAAACATGATATCATACATGTATACAAAGTTTAAAAAAGCTTTGTTTTCATAATTCTATTTTAAATAGTTTATAAAGAAACATTGAATTACTTAATATGCTGGAAAGATTTTGAATTACAAGTAAACATAGTGGAATTTTAAGAAAAAAGAAAATACGTGACCACCATGCAAATTACTGTATATTGTTTATACAAACCACTATACTTCGCAAGGCTATAGTAACTTTCAAATATATTTCTCAGATTCAGTCAAAACATGTTTATTTTTATTATGTACGTTTTCTTCATATGAAAAGTGGAAGTTTAATGAGGTTTTGCATCTTATTGCATCCACCGCGAGAGAGCTCCGTGTCCGAATCGAATTGATATTGATCATTGATAAACCGAAAAGATGTTGCAACAGGTTCCACTAATGTGCTTAAAAGACAACCACGTATCAAAGTGCGTCAAAATGTTAGGGAAAAAGGCTTATAACTTCCAAATGTATTTCTATTTTTCTATAACTTTATGGAATATTATAATGTATTCTTAAATCTTAGCAATAGTCATTCAAAGAAAATTATTCTCTTCTAACTTAATGAAATTCTAACGTTACCTTTTTTCTACCAATTATAAATAAGTAATAATAACAATAATGGTATCTTTCTGCCTGTGTTTCTTGGAACAAACAATCAATCCCTACCTTCTATATAACTATTTAAGCAACTTGATTAATCATAGATATCTTAAATAATCGGTTTGATTTACTCTACTAGTTCTTACAGGGAAGAGAATGTACTTTAAAATCCGTTAAAAAACTTTTAACAAATAAAGCTGAACGGCTTAGAACATATGTCTTAATTTATTCTTGTCACTTACTGCTATGTTAGTGAGCTTAACCACGCCTGCATAATGACCAAGGCATGTAAATTACCCGTTTTTTCTTGTCACATAGTCATGACACAAATGATGATGTTAATAATTGTAAGGATAATTTTAACAATAATAATGAAGTGATAATAAAAGAAACATAATGATGGTAAAGCTAGCTATTAGATTGAAAATGGTTGCCTTAATGATAATAAAAATAATATTGATGATTATAATGATAATAATACGCATGATAACGATAACAGTCGCAGCAAAAATTATAACAATAAGGATAGCAATGGTTAAAAGAATAAAATAATAAAAAAAAAAAAGATAACTCGAAAAAATGGCAGAAATATGGTAGACATGATACGAGGTCACGAAATATGCATAAATAAACAAAAAAAAAAAGAAAATGACAATGAGTTTAACTAAGAAGATCAGAGGATGATGAGAAGAAAAAGAAAAAAAAAAGGAAGAAATAAAAAAAGAACTATGTAAATGGGACATTGCTAAAATATCTATATACATATAGACATACAGATAGATAGATAGATAGCTATATAGATAGATAGATAGATAGCTATATAGATAGATAGATAGATAGCTATATAGATAGATAGATAGATAGCTATATAGATAGATATATAACAACAATAAAGAACAAACAGAAAAATTAAGGATAACAGTACATGCAACATCCTTAAGTCTTCGTCCTTGGCAAAAAATTATAACAATAAGGATAGCAATGATTAAAAGAATAAAATAATAATAAAAAAAAAAAGATAACTCGAAAAAATGGCAGAAATATGGTAGACATGATACGAGGTCACGAAATATGCATAAATAAACAAAAAAGAAAAAGAAAATGACAATGAGTTTAACTAAGAAGATAAGAGGATGATGAGAAGAAAAAGAAAAAAAAAAGGAAGAAATAAAAAAAGAACTATGTAAATGGGACATTGCTAAAATATCTATATACATATAGACATACAGATAGATAGATAGATAGCTATATAGATAGATAGATAACAACAATAAAGAACAAACAGAAAAATTAAGGATAACAGTACATGCAACATCCTTAAGTCTTCGTCCTTGGCAAACTATTATAAACTTCAAAAATTAATGGTTTGTACTAGTAAACAAAAACTTGGCGGGAGAGCAAGAGTGAGTTGTTCAGAAAAGTGTTCAATGTTCAAGTGTTTTTGAAATGTGAGGAGGTCGAAAGCATGCATCTACGTGTTTATTATTGTCTTATGTGAGTGTTTATTTATTTTCATTTCTTTCTTTATTTATTTATATTTTTTTCTTCGCGTGCGCTGGTTTTTTTTTTTTTGGCAATTCATGTGTCCGTTAGCATGCGTGAATTTGCTTATTGGTTGGTGTGTTTGTTTAGGTGTGTGTATTTGTGTTAGTTTGTGCGCTCCAATACGTATTTGTCTTTTGCAGGTGTGTCTGCATACGCACATGCGCGAATGCGTGTGTGGTCTTCGCCCCACATAAATGTACACATAAATGTACATTCTGACTCATATCCCTGCGCTTATTCATGGACGAGCGGACGTGTTGAAGTTTACATTAGAATAATTTTATCTCGGCAGGCCAATTAGCTGCATATATAGCCAGGCAATGAGACGCACAAAGACTTGACGGGGTTACGAGAGGAAGCTGGACAACGTCTTCCTATTTTGCTTGCCGGGGTAACGAAGTAACAGGACGGCCTCCGCTCCGCGTGGTCTTGGATTTCTTTCCTTTTCGTCGTATTGGGCACACACACGTTCAGACACATGCACACACACACACACACACACACACACACACACACACACACACACACACACACACACACACACACACACACACACACACGCACACACACACGCATACATGCATGTATGTATCTATATATGAGTACGTATGTATTTGTTACCAAGTACTCATTCCCTCGGGTTTCCAGAGAAATTACCTAAGATCTGATGCTTGTAACCTTTGGCTAATCCATATCTGTCGCCGCCTTTAATGTCACGTCTGCGTCACCGGAAGTCCACGAATCCCTCATACGCCCACGAGCAATGGAGGCGAGAGAGCCATGTTGAAAGAAATATCATAGATAATGAATGTTTTCATAATGAGGAGGCTGCGTCA